TGATATTACAAACCAATTAAAGTTTTTCTTCCAAGTTGAAAGATCATTATACGATCATTTTCTTATCATCTTTTCCTTATCTCTTTCCGTTTGTTGAAAAACAATTAGTTAACTGCAATTGTTGCAAAGAACTTTATAATTACTGTAAAAATAAAAAAAACCGGTACACTTGAGCGCTTTCGATCATTTTGTAGAAAATGCTAACACAGAACACGTAAACCGTAAATACCGGCGGATATTCTCAATAAATCGATTTCCGCGGCTGCATAAACATAATAATCCAACGAACGGGTCAACCAACCTGAGAGATAATCCAAAGGTTTATGCCGGTGCAATTGCGTGCTTCATCAATCCAATGATTTGAGTTTGCGAGCCGGGGCTATCTATTATTACCAACGCGCGGATGTATATAGTAACGGCATCGTATACGAGGGAACACACCGTGGTGTAAATGACTCGATGGTAACCGTGGATGCATAAAGGTAAAATCTCGCGTTCGATACGTATGGGGTGGTTCCATTATCGGCAATTAAACCGCGTCGAAGGCGTGTTGCGAGGACACTGAGCTTATATCGCGCGGCTGTTCGCACGCGCCTTTGCGGATTCTACCCGCTTCTGTTTCATCGTAATCCGCTATTCGCGATGTCATAATTCTTGATAACGCGGTGATAACGCGAAGATACGACCCGGTTAGGTAGGAAGTGCCGTTTCTCCAACTAAAACTCTCGTTAACACTCGGAATATTGCGAAAGAAATGTACGCGGTATATAATCTTTCCGATATTACGGTCGCCGTTACAAAACTGCCGATTAATTTGATAGAATAATTTTCTGTTCAAACAGTAATCGTTCGAAATCGTTCGACAGAATCGCTTACATACAGAACTCAATGAGAGATTTTTTAACGAGCGTAAAAAAAAAAAAAAAAAAAAAAAAAAAAAAAAAAAAGAGAGAGAAAAAAGAAAAGACCGCGTTCTCGAACGCGGAGAGCGCGAGCTCCTGTTCTTCGCAACGCGAATTTCCCGAGGAAATGAAGATGTTTACTTTGCTTTCGTGTCTTTACTTTATCCGCGCTCGACGTTTTTTTCTTCCTCTCTCTCCCTCTCTCTCTCTCTCTCTTACGCTTTCATTTCCTCCTATCATTCGCAGCTCCGGTATTTGAAGTATAGCGACCCTTAAGTTTGACCAGCGTTTTCTATTCTTAATTTCCCCGCTTTTTATACCTTATTCGCACACACCGCGCGCGCGCCTTACGGCGACTTATTAGTATGCAGGCCTCCCGCGCGAGTCCGCTCGCAAATGCAAATTTTTCTTTTTTTTGCAACATGACTACGATACACAACGCAAACGAATAAGTAACTCCCTTCCGTATATTGCCGCGAGCAAGTGGCACGGTGATTTCATGAGAGCGTGAATTGCTTCTTACACGTGAAACACGATTCCGTTGCAATCGTTGCTCTTACACGTCGGCACTCAATCACGCTATTTTTTAAATCGCTCCAACGAAAACCGTGATCAAACACGGCTCTGTATCAAATATTTCAAACACATATTTTTTTTTCTCTATTTCATTTCTCTCCTCTTCTCTCACCTGTAAATACTGGTATACTAGAATATTTTTTCACAGCCTATATTTGCAGTTTGTGCGAACCGATGATTTAAATACGGTCGGCAAAGAGAATGGATAAAATTTTGTCCTACACAACAGAAACGATACTCTACTGCGTACAACAGTAGTTAGATAGGTATGGTTTTGATAAAAAAAAAAAAAAAAAAACGCATCTCGCCAACGCGATCGATAACGCGAAAGCTCATAATCAGTTTTAAACTGCGAGAGTTCTCTGCAAAATAACTGCGACAGAAATTACATTTTTTTTCTTTTTTAGAGAAGAGAGAAGAGTTTAAAGCGCGCGCGCGCGTGCAAGTTGTCTCTCAATAATGCGCACAGCTAAATCGACGGAAACTTTTGCAATTAAAATAGAGCAGAAAAAAAGAAGAGAGACAGATCGAAGAAGAGAGACGTATGCGGGATATTTTTGGGATTGAGAAGCAAAAGGCCGGAGTAGAAACTCATTTGAGTTTTTTTTACCGCGTCGATCGGTTAAACGGCGCGATCGTTCCGGATCGTCCAACCGAACGAAATCGGATATTTCGTCGAAACTTTCACCGGTATTGGCTGGACGCGGAACATCTCTTGTGCCGCTCTCTTTTTTTTTTTCAATTGCCACTGCCAGACGATTGATTCCGAATCAATTCTGTTGCGTAATTTAAACGATATAGCGCGCGCGCGCGCGCGCACTGTAATCTCATCGTCAATGATGGGCACATTCAATAACGAGTGGTCTCGATTGGTTAAACGCGATTAAATATATATATTCCTCTGTGAAGGTATCATCGCGTTTCACGACTGCTGATCGATTAAGCTTCGATAATCGTTCTTTGTGGAAGATAAAAGAGATTATTGTTCGTTGTAGAGCGAAGTATTGCAGTTTGCAAGAAACAAATATATATGTTTTCTTGCATTCATTTTTTCTTCCGCGCTCGCGGAATATGTCGTTACGGCATCGCAAACAATTCCATTCATTAATATTGTTAAAGAGCACAGACATTGGTAATAAAAGACTCGGCATTGCCGGCTCGCCGTCTTTCTCGCAAAGAAAACAACGTAATATTACAACTCGCGGATTCGTTCTGCCGTTAAGACATTATCTTAAAACTTGTTTTTTTTTTTTTTTTTTTTCAAGAGAGAGAGTTCTGGTTCTTAGTTTAACGCTACGGTGCCCAGGTGAAAGGGACTATAACATCTTATTCTATTTAAGCGCTCGTAACAAAAGAAACGGCGCGTTTTTTGTCGCAGGTCCTTCAACGGGGGAGAAAGCTCTTCAGACAATCGTTGCGACGGATTTAATAGCAAACAGTATCATAAAGAAATGCCTCCCGGACGCGCAAGCACGCGCAGAGTCAATACCTGCGAAAAATACATGCAACACTTCCTTCCTTCTTCTTCGATAAATGCGAACCCGTCCTTTGTTCTCGTTCTATTCTATTTCTTTCTCATCAACGACCCTCTTAAGACCGTCACCGGAGTATCCGGATTCAATTTAGCGCGTGATAAAATCGTTCCTTTTTCTAAGCATCTGACTCGAGTTAGCAAAGAATCAATGGTCTTTTCCTTTCCATTTCAAGACAAAAAAAAACGATTCCATAGAACTGGTGGCTGTGATACCAGCAGTTACAAAAAAAAAAAAACTCGAAGAGTAAACGTAATGCTTCGCTCTTCAAGGAATTCATTATCGCGAATAGCTCTTTTCTCACAATTAATCGCTCATTCAGTTGTACACTCGACGTGTCCGCTTGCTTAACTTCTTTGTATCTTGAATTCCTTCGATCGTTTTCGATCATTACGTAGCTCACGTCGCAAACAAGACTACGGATTCTCGAGTAAAGCATTTATTTAGAAAAAGTATCCTGTAAATGCGAGTCATTTCCCGGAAATCTACAAACCGACGGTAATCCAGGGTACTCGAATGAGATTGAATTCCGGCTTTTATCTGCTTTACGAGCGGCATAAAGCGCGCGGCTATTCCCGCATCGACGCACTTTCGGCGCGCCGATATCAATTAAGATCGATTTCGTTCCGCCCGAAAAACATTGCGATGCAGGCCTTGTCCTCGTGGTTTGTCATTGATCCGACAGGATCGGTCGTAAAATAAAGATTTGACCGGGAGAATACTGCGAGTGCCCGCGCGATCTCTTTCGAGGGTTGCTTCGCTCTACCCTTCGCAACCACTCTTCCCTTCTCCTTTACCCACCGTCGTTACTATATAGTATCCCACGGATAGCGAGCATACCCGGGGTTGTGGTACCGCAGGGGCGGATCGGCCCGCGCTCAACCTGAATACTGATTCTCGACGGACGCATATATTACCACCGCGGATAAAAGACATTTGCATTTTGATGGACCGACGCCGAGTGCATTTGACGTTTCATATGCATTTCGCGCGTGTATCTCGCGAACACCTCGGCGCGCGACTCGTGGAAAAAAAAAAAAAAAAAGACTCGGTCTTACCTATATGTTTATCGTCCCGATGTTGCGCGCGCTTATGCATATATAGAGTCGTTCATTTATTTACATTTCGCGAATATCTCGTCGAAGTATCTTCATAAATAAATCTACGTTGCGCGTGAATTGCCTGTAAAATTTAAGCGCGACGTTCTCAAGACCTGTTCTCTCGCGTCTCTCATTGTATATTTGCGAGTATAAACTTATTTACGAGAGAGAGCGCTCGAAAGAATAATATAAAAGTAGAAACTAATTTGTATACAAACACGCACACACACACATACAGTCACGTTGTACAGCGTCGATCTGTAAAATGCGATGATAAATTAGAAGTTGCACTCAAATAACTATATACCGAGACTTCATCCATCATGGATATATTCCATATTCCGCGCGAGCGAACTTCCGGGGGTCTATCTCGATTTCAGAGAAGAGGCGATATATATGTGTATCTGTAATTCGCGCAGCTCGGAATATAAATTCGAGCGTTGGTGCGTTATTTCACATTCACCGTGCCTCGCTCGCCAAAAGTCCGTCGAAGAGAGCTCCAAAGAGAAATCAATTGCCGAAACTTCGATATCGGCGAGCGCGAAAGCGCGCGCGGGGAACGAGCGCAGGATTGCACGGACAATGGTGCGAAAGAAGTGGCAAATTGAAAAACCGCCCCTGCACGATCGGAGAACAGAATCCGTGCGCGGGGATGGACCGTCCTGCGCGAGCGGGTTACAAACCCTCTCCGACAATACTACGCCCGAATATATTTCGAGGGAGTTTACACGTTCTCCTCCCTGATCCGTCCATGACGACGACGACAACGGAGGAAAGCCGGCGGTGTACATAATAATCGGTAATTCATATTCAAATGCACTCGATCGTCGAGCTCGCTCGACGGAAGTGTGACAACTGCCAAAACACTCGGAAACAATCTGCTTGAAACTCACCATTATTCTCGTACGCTTTCTTCCTTCTCTCGCGGCGACGGCGACGATGTGTATGTAACGCACGATTCCTCGTGCTTGCACTGTCACGCTCTTCCTTAAAACAATCGTTCCATCGCGCGTAATCCGATGGACGTCACACTTCGCATTCGCGCCGATGTGGCAGCACTGTCATTCCAGCAAACCGGCGATGTTCGACCGTACGTAGCATGTCTGGAAAAAATAGAGAGAAAAGAAAATGTTATACCGAGTTAAATAATTCAAATTCATTTCGAGTGAATTAAATGTGAATAAATTATGGGGACAAAATGACGGAGATGACGTGAAAATTTTAGTTTTACTTTCAAAAGAAGTGCTCGCACACAGCTCAATAGTTCTTGTTGTAAAATATTACTTTTTAAGAATTTATATTTAGTCAGAATATATTAAAAGTGTATTTCTTGCGCGAAGTATTTTACGAGTTGACGTGTTAGAAATTCCAAAAGAGTTTTAACTCGGCCGCCGTCTTACGGCTGCGTGTGTGCGCGGCCGTGTAAATAGTGGTTACGGCGGGAGAGAGGCGGAAGCTCTCGCCCGTTCAAAACATCTAACTTCCTCCCAAGTCAACTAAATATACGGCATACGTGATCCATCAAGCAGAAGATATGTCGAAATATACGCGCGGTACATGTTTACGAGAGGTGGTACGGTACTTCGTAACCAACCGTTCCCTCTCTCCCTACCCGCCTTCTTGGTCCACGAATACGTGCGAAACCCCTGAAGGGTTCTTCTCTCACGGTGTGAGAGCTACAGCGAAGCATTATCTCCGCTCACAGGTAAGTAACCGGGAGGAAGTTGGAGCACGAAACAGGAAAATTACTCCTTTGACACGTTGCAGGTAATCGTGGAGGAAAAAGGAGCTCTGCCGCGAGCCCCGGTAGAGTGCGGAGAAAACGAAGGAAATAGGTAGCCGTGGAACGGAGGACTTTCAAGAAAACTTGCGAACCCGAGGGAACGCTTGAGAAGCTTTATAACTTCGACAACCTTAAATCGGCAAAACTGCCGCGCCTCTGGTGGTCGTAGAACGCGTCCTGGACGAAATGAGGAGAGCAGGAGTAAGTATAAAGGTGGCAAAATCGAGGGCGAGAAGGAGTTGGAAGTCGGAATAGTCTGGACGAGGCCGGTTGGCGAGAGAAGGAAGCGCGAAGAAAGTGGAGCTTGCTGCACGTGTGCTCTTCTTACAAGAAGGGAAAACGAGAACGGCGAGATATGATTCTCCGTCGTTCTCTTCGATGAGACGACTTCGCTGGAACAACTCGCGCGATGCACTTCTCGACTCTACATCGTCGTGTACACTATATTTACAGCGACATCGCGCGTATATACGTGTTTTTAAATTATGTTTCTCAGCATGACACAGCGGGATTAAACGTGTTTGTCGACAAGTTTTACCGTGTTTAACGAAATAAAATTGTTTCGCTGCATTTGCGAATGTATATAAAGTATCTTTCATTGTTGTAATATTTTAATAAAAAGCGCCCGGCGTAATCACGGAATAATTACGGGATTGTACCGAATGAGATATATGGAGAAATTCACAACGCAAACAAACCCTAACGTGTTTTCTTTTTCGAAATACGACAAAACACCGCGCACCCGGAACAACGGGTTGTGTAATGCAACTTAATTACATGTTATGATGATGCATAGCGCCGCTAGAATAAAGCAGACGGAAAACTGCATAGCGTGTATATAAGCCGAACACAACAGTATATTTCTCTTCTTTCTTTCGTAGACGCGTACTTCACCCGAGAATTTAAAGTCGTAGCTTTTCTTTTAACAATAATTCAAGTAAAAATGCTAAGTAACCACGTAATAACATAAAAATAATAACATAACTAAAACTTCATTTATATTTATTTTTGTTTTTACTCTATCGCATTTCTGCTCTCTCTCTCTCTCTCTCTCTCTCACACATTTTTCCCTCGTATCCTTCATTACGTGCGGCACGAGGAAAAACATATATAGCGATGTGTTATCCTCGGCACCGTGAACAAACATCGTGCGCGACGCATACGACAATCGAGAAGAGACATCGTAACGCCGGTGAAGTAGCGCGACTTCGTGGTCTTCTAAGGGGGTCGGGAAAATACCTGCGCACCCTTTCTAGTCCGCCGTCTGCGCGACGAGGAGTCGCGTCGAGGGTCGGCGTCGCCGGTCGAGTCACCCCTAGGCGATTCACCTCTTCCTCCCAGCGTGTTTCCTCCGCGCCGCGCTCTTCTCACCCCACGAAGTAAAAACTCAGGCTTGCATTTCAGTAAAGAGCCAACCCATCCGCGTGTATGGACAATAGGACCAGACGCCCAACCAGACGCCCCCTAACAACGCCCCTTCTTTCGCAGCCACGCGTGTATGCGCGTGTGTGTGTGCGTGCGTGCGTGCATGTTTGCGTGCACGCGCGTTGCGCGTCACCGCCGGCGAACTTCGCCGCGTCTCATCTTCGCCCTTGACAACGACGACGACGACGACGACGATGACGACGGCGTCTGGCTGTTTTTTCCGCGACGATGCTCGTCGCCCTTCGCGTCAGACGTGCATGCATCTCCGGTACACAACGGCGCGGAAAACAATTATCTGTTTCACCGGATGCGGACGCATTGCACTTCTCGGGACGACTTTCGACGCCGCGATCGTAAATCCGAATTAGACGCGACGTAAGGTCTCGCGCTGCGATCGGACACAACCCCATGTGCAGGCACGCGTAATTCAATTAACACTTTCCCGCGTTCAGAAAACTCCAATCGCAATTACAAGAACGCGTTGTAATTTTCTTTAAGAAAAATTGATATATGCGCGTAAAATACGTGTTGTAAATTTATTATGCAAAGATGCAAATATATACCGCGTGTTTTATTGCAATATACGTCCAACTCTAAAACAAGATCAAAAATATCTAAAAAAAAAAAAAAAAAAAAAGATTAATTAAACATTGCTATAACACATGCAGCATTATCTTGTTTGCAGCGGCCGAAAGTTCGTAAAGTTTCGTTTTAAACGTAACTCACATGAACGCAGCCTAACCTCATTCTTTATCTATATGTACGCCCCTGCAATTGCGAATTGGTGGAGAGCATTTACCAAAGTACCGGCATTCACACCCTCGGCGAATGACGCAGAACAGTGCGCGGAAAGTACGAAACAGGAAGCTACTGGACCCCTTTTGTTTTCTGACGCGTTTCTCGTTCTCTCTCTCTTTCTCTCTCTCTCTTTCCTTCTTTATTCTCCCTCTGACGACTCTGGTTGTCGTCACAATTTGCGCGCGCGCGTGTGTGTGTGTGTGTGTATGTGTGCACCAAAATGGCTCTTCTGTTTGCTCTTATTTTATTCTTGCACCTTCACCCGCACCTCGTTCGAAGGTAACACATAGCGCCTCTTAACAATAATATTACATCTACGTGTATACGGCGGTTTTCCGTTATTCGCGAACGAGCTCAGAGGGTGGCTGCCAGCCAGCCATCGTGCCGGCCGTCAAGAGTTTCGCGCCCGGGAAATATTTTCCTCCAACTCGCGGAACAAAAATTTGCTCCACCGTGGTTCACCTCCGCCGCGTTTCTGTCAACGTCGCTTTTTTTCGACCCCGGTGTGATGAGAACTTTTCCGGTCTCAAAATATATGTAGTTAAATTTTGGTTGTTTTTTCTCACGCGAATATATCCGTAGAATTTCGCGTTTTTGCGGCAGTAAACTTAAGAACGAAAAGAAGGAAATGCTTTTATGTAATATCCAATAAAAAAAACTCTGTTCAAAAACTCTTGGAATTAAGTGTACTTCCACTTTGTCAATTATATAAAAGTTACTCTTGTTGCGAATACATAGTTACAACTTTTTATATTGAAAAAGTTTCATTACGCGATGTACTGATTAGAAATTCAAACTATGTTTCGGCTCGCCGACAATCGGTTTTCTCCGTATTGACACGCGGAAGCAGACGATGTGCGGCTCCTTACTGTCTCGAGAATTTACCGAGTGTATTAATGATTCCGGACCATCATGTCACGAGATCTATCACCGGGGATTTGATGCCACGCTGTCAGAGAATCTCTATAATACCCAAGTTACAACACCCTTGCGCTCACCTCTGACCGGCTCCCCTTAACAACAGTTCAATTAGTTCCGGCTTAACGGCTCTCAGTTCCGGTGACTCGTGACCGGAATCTCGGACAATTATTCCTTGAGCGGAAACAGAGCTCAAATTTCTACTCCCTCGCCAGCATCAAAGATCGAAGAGTTTTTCGACGGTCAGAATAGATTTTTTCCAGTTTTGCGTAACAGACGCGTGTAGATATTTAATTCGCCAATTTACATAGATAGATATTATACACAGATTATTTTTTTACCAGATGAAGATAAGGTTGGTCTCGAGATATTTGAGTTCTATGTTTCATAAGAAAAAGTATCGAAGATATAGTATACTTCACATAGACGTGCATCTCTCTGCGAGATATCCCTTCGGAAAACCATTTAAGACTTAAATAAGGTTTTGCGAGGCAAATTATTAAGTCAACCGAAAGTTAACGTGTTTGCAAAAGGTGGTTCTCAATCAGGCAAAGTTAAACCCTCGGCAAAGGTGGATCGAAGGTCGGGCAAGGGAGATCGTAAAATCAAGTATCTTGAAAGAGCGCTGCACACCGGAGAGAACTGGAGCAGCAGTCGGGCGCGCCTTAATGTGTTTGCCCGCGAAAGTGCCTATCCGGAAATGTCTAGGAAATGAAATAGCGTTGCGTACGTAAACGAGCTGTCAGAGCACCGGCGAGTAAATAACTAACTTTCTTCACTGAGACCCCGTCGTAGCACCTTAAGCCGTTACGGAGAGCTCATTACGAGCAAGACATGGCCCCGCGCGTTTTCGTGAAGTTTCTGCGATAAGAAAGACAGCGCCCCGTAATTACGCCGCGTCTGCGCTTCGCAGATCGCTGAATAAACCGAAATCTGCGCGCGATATTTACGGCAGTGTGAATCCGGCAGGTGCTACCGCTAATTTCTTTAAAGAAATCAAATTAGCGATATCGCATATTTCGCGCGCGACTTTGAAACGACATTGTTAAATTTACAATGTGTATATTTATACACGTTCTACGACAGAGACGCTCGGGTGACATTTTAAAATTTGCATTTGATCGTCCCGCACACCGAGACGAGGAGTAGTGAGGGATCAACTGTTAACAGAAAGGAAAC